GAGAGGGGATAGGGGAGCAGGGAGGATTTTTGGGGCGGGGGTGGGAAGAAACCAGAATTTCAGAAATCTCGGAGCTGTGCAAGGAGAGCAAACTCCCACCCAGGGACAAACATTAGCAGGCTAGAAGGAAAATCGGTGGTAGCGGTTTTGCAACTCAGTGTGTCACACACACTGACAGGGACTGCTTGAGGCCGTGGGGCTCCAAAACCACCCGTCCAACTGACCCATGCACATAAACGACTTGTTATTTAGGTCCTCAGCAAAGAGCGAGCCAGAAGGACGGGGCAAGGGGCAGCCATTTGCCATGGCTGCAGAACACCCAGCAGAGCTGGCTGGGAGCAGGTGAGGTGCAGTGCATCTGCACACCTTACCTGAAGCGTTTGCACCCCCAGGGTTATCAATGCCGAGAAGTCGGAGTTCAACGAGGACCAGGCGGCCTGCTGTCGGATCTCCATCCGGAGGAGAGAGCTGGGCCTGGAGGAGGACGAAGAATGGCTGATCCTGTGCTCCACGCAGGTATAGCCCACGGGCAGGCTGTGCTTTCCCTGCTGCCAGCCCTGGTCCACACCCAAAGGCCCAGGTACAGGCAACACGGGGTTGTCCCATCAGTCCTACGTGCCCACATGCTGAAACACCTCCTTGGAGGCATTTAGGGGACCCATGTACCCTATGTCTGGCCAGGAAATGCTCAGCTCTTCCTGTATGTGCCATTTCTACTTCCTTGGCCCATGCCTTGTGGCATCTGGGGTCATCCAAGCCCTTTGCTCAGTGTCCTCACCTTTGCTGTCCTTGCTGCCTGCAAGGGCCAGTTTGTGCTGTCATCACTGGGGGACAGCAGCGGGTGCCAGGCACATGGGATGCTCTCAGCTGGGACGGGCTCTGCCTTGCCTCTTGTAAGATGGAGCAGCCCCATCTGCCCTGAAACACAAAGGAATAGCCTGTGAGGGTGGGTGGCTGCAGACCCAGCCGCCCAGAGCTCCTGTGATGGGTCTGGCAGAGCAGCACATGGGCATGACAGGTCATCCCCCCTGTCTTTTCCCTCTCTGAAGCTCTCCTTTGTTTTCTTGTCCCTCTTCCCCACTGCAGTTTCTGACTGGTTATTACTGGGCACTGTTTGATGGCCATGGTGGCCCAGAAGCTGCCATCATCGCCTCCAACTATTTGCACTACTGCATCAAGCAGAAGCTGGAGGAGGTTGCGGGAGGCATCACAGAGGCCTGTCCACCTATGCACCTGAGCAGACGCTGCGTCTGCAACAGCGACCCCCAGTTTGTGGAGGAGAAGCACATCCATGCAGAAGACCTGGTGGTGGGAGCCTTGGAAAATGCCTTCCAGGAGTGCGTGAGTACCCCGTGCCGGTCCTGCTGCCCCGAGCAGTCTGTCCCTTCCTGCTGCCCAGGGTGGACAATGTCTGCAGCTCTGCAGCAGGCAGGAACATTCAGCGAAACCTTTTAAGTGTGCTGAAATCACTCTGGGTCAGCTCCCCAAGATCTGCCTCAATCTGTTGGACGTTGGCAGTGCTGACCCAGAGCAAAGCTACAGCATTTTTGCTAAACTGCACCCAGGGGATAGGTTTCTTTAGGGCTAGATGGTGGCTACTGTCAGACTCAGGCAGCGTGTACAAGTTTGAGATCTCCCCATCACGCTCCTAAAGTGGTCCTTGGGCCAGTAGCAACATCTTCTTTTACCTTGCTGGTTTCCCAGGGCCCATCTGCAATCAGGTTCAGCTCTGGATTTCTGCTAGGTGGCACGAGGCAGCTGCCTGGTTCACGTCACTCTCCAAACGTGTTTAAACCAACAGGATGAAGTCATTGGTCAGGAGATGGAAGCTACGAAGCAGACAGGAGGTTGCACTGCTCTGGCTGCCCTTTATTTCCAGGGAAAGCTGTACGTGGCTAACGCTGGGGACAGCAGGTGAGCCACAGTAAAAGAGGGAACTTGCTGGGGGATGAGAGCTGGGAGATAAGCAGAGTTTCCAGCACCTTACTTAGCCTTACAGAAGGTAAACGTGCAGCCCAGCCATTTACCTCCTGCCTGCCACAGGACCTTTGGGTGGATACCCTCATGCCTCCCAGAAGGGTTTTGGAATTTCGAGGGACTAACACTGCGCAGCCACAGGGCAGTGTTGGGGTCGTAGCCCAGCAGTAAGCTCAGCCTGGCAAGTGTTTAGAAGTGGGAGGTGATTTTAAAGTATCTTAAAGAGCTTCCCCATCTGACCTTGGTCCACTGTTCCTCTGGCAGTGAGCTCTACCATCGGCAAACCAGGCTCAGTTCTCTGGTGCAATAGTGCAACTGCAATGGAGTTATTGAAAATACACCAGCACTTCTAAGCATTACTTGGTGCAGAGCTGTTCTCTGGCATTGCTCTGCTGCTGTTACCCACGGTCCCACACCTGGCTGACTCCAGGGCTCACCTGGGTAATGGGAGGACTGCAGTGACAGACATGCTCAGCTCTTTGCCTCTTCCCCCTTATAGGGCGATTCTTGTTCTGAAGGACAACGTTGTGCCCATGAGCTGCGAATTCACACCTGAGACAGAGAGGCAGCGAATTCAGCACTTGGTGAGTGACTTCTCTGCATCAGACAGTCCAGCTGCGAGTGTCCCACTGTCAGAGAGGGCTGTGTTGTGGCCAGAATGTCATCTGGCACTAGCAAAGGAGGGCTAGAGGCAAGATTCAACCAACAGCCTTTACTACGGGAGGTGCTTGCATCCTCCTTGGGATGCATTTTCCAAGTTCAGTTCTCCATTCTGCTGCTGGGGCTGCCAGTCCCAAGGCAGCAGCAATCCTGGTGCCCTACTCCACTGAAGCAGAGCCTGTCCACACCAACACTTTTATTTGTTCCTCCAGGCTTTTCTTTTTCCCAAGCTCCTGGACGGCGAGTTCACGCGCTTCGAGTTTCCACGGAGGTTGAAGGGAGATGACCTGGGCCAGAAAGTCCTGTACCGGGATTACTTCATGGAAGGCTGGTGAGTCCTGGCTGGCTGAGGATAAAGGTGCAGCACAGGGCAGCTTTACCTGCTGGTAGTGATGGGGAGCTGAAGGAAGAAGGAGCATCCCCCAGTGGTGAGAGCAGCAGGCTTGATGCTGCTGTGAGCATCCTGGCAGGCTGGTTAGGGAACAGTGGAGATGCTTCTGGGATCCTGCACGGTGGGGCTGGTGCAGGAGATCCCAGCCTGGTGCAGTTACTAACTGGGGAGGAAGGGGAGATGGAAAAATGCCTGGGCATTCAGCAAGGGGTCATAGTCACTGCATCTGCTTCAGCAGGTCACGGTGCCCCCTCCTCAGTCAGCTGCCTGTGCACAGGGGCACCACAAAGGTTGATTCACAGTTTAAATGTTCTGGCTATATTGTACCTGTAAGTCAGACAAATCCCAAATCAACGCTGAATCCTCTGTTCTAGGGGATACAAGACGGTGGAGAAAGCCGACCTCAAGTATCCTCTTGTCCACGGCCACGGGAAGCAGGTAGCTTAATGCTTTACACACTGGGAAGGGCAGAGGCAAGTCTGCTGGGGGTCCTCAGCATGCCCAGCACTCACAGTCGTGCTCTGGGGCGCTACAGCAGACTGGGGCTGCAGAGCATCCAGTGCTCTGGATGCCAGTGCTCTGCCAGCACGGCGCAGTCCTACATTCCTGGTGCAGCAGCTCTCTTTCCTAGCACCATGTTCATGCAAACCAGAGCCCTCTAGGGAAAAGAGGTTGCATTCTCCTTCACAGTAGCTGCTGTCAGAGTGCACAGCAGCCCAAAGCCAGCCTGCCCTTATCTCCCCTTGTGCACAAGAACTCATTTCAGATGAGAACTCATTTCATCAGATTCCCCTTTGACTGCCTCCTCCAGCCTTTCCCAAAAACCCTCTTCCACGAGGAATGGCTGAGAAAAGGAACCCAGAAAGGGAAGGAGGAGGCAGAGAAGCAATGGCTGCACACATCCAGTGTCTGACTGCTGGGGTCGAGCAGGAAGATTCCCATTGCCTCCCCCCGTGCTACAACCCACATGCCACCCCCTTGTTTGCCAGGAGAAAGGATGACTCCCCCTTGCCTCAAGCCAATTTTCTTGCTTACCACCCAAAATCAAGAGCAGATGCCACCATGGGTTCCTGGGGTCTGTACGTTACCCAGAGTACATGTACTGACTACAGAGCACGCTGGGGGCTGTCCAGGTGCAGGCTGTGTCCACGCTCTCATCAGGCCATCGCTCCTGGTCACTCCTCCATCTCCCAAGTCTCCAGGTGCTGCTCTCGGTGAAGCTTAAGAGAAGGGTTCTGAAGGCAACACAGCTCAGTCAGGACAAGCCACACATCAGCCTTTCAAGCTGCCACATTATGTTTGAATATTGTTTTGCGTTGTTTGGGACCAGGCTCGCCTGCTGGGGACTCTGGCTGTCTCTCGAGGTCTGGGAGATCATCAACTCAAAGTCATTGACACCAACATCGAAGTCAAACCTTTCCTCTCCTGCATTCCCAAGGTCAGTCGTGGTACACAGGCATTACAGGGTGGAATCAAACATGCTGCTCCCCCTCTGTGACACAGACCTGGCAGGTCTTAGCTGTGTCCCTTTTTCCATCCCCCATCTCTCTGCACAGTGCCCAGAGAATCTCCAAGACAGAGCAATCTACAAGCGTAGCAGCAAGGGGATGTAAAAGATTCAAAACACCCTGGTCTCACTTTAAGTCATCTGTCAGGGGAAAAGTAATCTCCCTGAGTCCTCCGTTACACTGCAGGAGTTGTCACTCATTTACTCCTGTGCATTCCAGGTGAATGTGTTTGACTTTGCTCTGCATGACATTAAGGAGGACGATGTCCTCATCATGGCAACTGACGGCCTTTGGGATGTTCTGTGCAACACAGAGGTGGCCCAAATGGTCAGGAGCTTCCTTGCAGAAAACAGGACAGATCCTCACAGGTAACACCAGCTTTGCCGTTATTTTCCCTTCCTTTTGCCTTCCAGGACCTGGTCAGACCAAAAGCAGGCTGAGATCACTCTGCTTCTGGGTCAGCTCTGGCACGACCAGACTCTCTTTTCTGTGATTCTGGAAACTGCTTCCTAATCTTTCCCCATCCTAAAAAACAATTACAAAGCTGGTGTCTACTATTTTGACAACACAAAGACACATCTCAATGATGTTCTCAAGGAATAGTGCCACACTAAACCAAACTCTGCATTTTTTTCCACCCACAGGTTTTCAGAACTGGCCAAGTGCTTGGTATGCAGAGCAAGGGGACAGAGGAGAGGCCACCAGTGGATGTTGGATGACAGCCACGAGGCATCGTACGATGACATCTCTGTATTTGTCATCCCACTACACAACAGGGATGAGGACTGACTGCTAGCGGGACATGCAGGATCCGTGTCCTCTACTGTGGTGCTATTCTGCATCAACCCGAGACAGGGGTTTCTGCCGTGTGTTTACACTCTTCCAGAAAAACCATCTGCAGTGGAACCTGAACAAGCACAGCCAGCACACTTTGCAGATCAAGAACATTAGCTTCTTAAGAACATGCAAGAGAGGAACAGTGGGCAACAAATCATTCCCCTTACTCCTTTCTCTTTGCTGGGCCAAGGAGAAATTAAAAGGCACACAAGCTGACAGGTACTACTGCTAAGATTTTAGCAGAACAGTGAACCTCAAATCCACGTTTCTAGTGACTCCTGCCCTTTTTAACACTGAAAAAACGAGGATCGAGATCTAGCCACTCTCATGAGCTGGACTTTAATCAGACTTGAACTAAGTTGTGTAAAACTGGATGCGTAAGCTAAAGTGCCCCTCATATCCATTCGCTGTAACACAAGACGTACTGAAAACCTGGGGGTTGCTGCTGAGGCAGCACTGGGCACGGCCCTGCCTGCCCAACACAGACGCTGCAGCAGCAGCCCGGACCTCTTGGTACAGCTGCCCTTTGTGGGCAGCACCACCTCAAAGGGGCAACGTTCGCAGATGGAGCTGTACTTTGGTGTGCAGGAGCCTCCTGTGTACAGATGAGTGCCTTACTGTTACTTAAGAGCATTCAAGTGTATTCGCATGGAATGCAACGTGCAGATTTCTAACAGATCTTGGTCCACAGCACTTGCCAGTACTTTCTCTGTTCAGGTAATTTCTGACGGCAAGGCTGGTTTAATCTTGGTCCGCAGCACTTGCCAGTACTTTCTCTGTTCGTTCAGGTAATTTCTGACGGCAAGGCTGGTTTTGTAGCAGTAGCAGTGACGGGAACCGAAGTGTTTAAGTACATCAGCTGATTTAGTAGAGAAAACTGGTTTGTTCACGTCTGTCTGCAGTACTGAATCACAAGTGCTTACACTCACTACCACAGGAACAGCAGTGCACAACACACCAAACCAACTTGTGCCTTAAACTCTGAGGATCTGCTTCTGAACTCGTTCATTAACCAGGCAAGTTCAGGTCTGGACAAGCTTCCCATCTCTCCCAAGTCCTATTTTTTCCCCCATTACAGAAGCTGCCAGATTCCCTAGTGAAGCAGACAAACCTCAGCGTGTGTTTAAGTTCTACAAGGATGAAAGTCCAAATAAAAGTACTTGTTTTTCCATGCATCTTACTGCAGTTTTATTCCTGTCAGAGGTTTTACACAGACCCAAGATGGAGAGAAACGGCCTTAGAAAATGGCAGGGGGAGTCTTTGCTTTGGATTCGTCTTTGACAAAAGCCAGTTGGCAGTACTGCCCCACAGGCTAAGTGTCAAATGATTTCCTGCGGTGGGAGGCCTGGACTAAGCAATGAGGCAGCTTTCTCAGGTATCTGCTTATGGTTTACGCAAGGGATAGAACAAAAAAACCCCATTTCTCTCCAGCTTCACTTTTCCCGCATCCTCTCAAGTGTAACCTGGAAAGGATGCACATGGGGTTTCACCCACGTTAACTTGATGCTGTCACTGCCTCTGTAGCAGCTGTAACGCTCTCTCTAGATACCATCTGCTGTAACGATCCAAGTCTGTTACCCCAAACCAACAAGCTATTTCCCCATCTTGCTGAGAAAGGGCTCAGCTCTTCATGCAGACCACAGGCTCCTGTTACATAGGGCACCACACCTCTGCAAGTAGCTGTGACAAGACTGCTTCCCCATCCTGATACATGTCTAGGCAAGAAAAGCCTCCTAGAATGGGCAATGTGTGCAGGGAGAGCTGCAGAGTATCACTATTTTCAGTACAGAGCTTCTGACTTCCCAAAATGAAGGAGCTTTTAAAATAATGGATCGTTTTCCCATTCTCCTCCAAGAAACCAGCAAGTTATATCACACCAGGCAAATACAGAATTTACAACACTCAATGATCTCTCTAGAAAATATTTATTGATAACAGCAACATCGAATTCTCCACATAGTATTTTGTGACAAAGCATCATTTGATTTTACGTATTTACACTCATCTGGCAGATACCACCTAGGAGCCAAACTCCCCATACCAGCTCATGACCAAAGAGACCAGTTTCTGAAAGGCTCGCCAGGATCCTAGCCCCTGACTCAAAACCAAGGGGAAGTCTCTTAAAGTGCAAATATAGTCAAGAGGCATTGGAAGAGATAGGCTGCTGCTTCCAAATTTGTTCACTCAGCTGCTCCTGTGTCCTCCAGAGCAAGGGCTGGGACATTACCCAAGGACCTGGGAGCCTCAAAACAACCCAAAAACCAAAATCAGCAGAACTCCCAAAGACTAACTGCAGAACTACACCTGAAGTCTCCTACAGCCCAAGCAGATGTGCTCAGCCAACACCACTGCTTATTTAGAGGTGAGTTGTTGAGTCTTGCTTTCCCCTTGTTTTGAAGAAAGGTCTTGAATTCATCCCAAAGAACACGGCAGGGATTCTTTTAAATGTCAAATCTGGGGAGAGAATGCTGTTTCCTGCTTTGCTTTACATAAGGCTGGACACTCTTGTTAGACCAGGGAAGGCTGGGGTCAGGTTCTGGTCAGCTGGCTGCCCTGAAGAGCACAGGAATGCAGTCCTGCTGCTTGCAGAGAAACATGGAGAAGATGGAAGCTAAAAGCTTTATTCACCTTTCCTGTCTAACCTTCTAGAAACAGGCAATACTCGAGTTTCCTGACAATACTTAGCACATTTTTCCCCTCTCAAAGGCAGACAGAAAACACTGGGTGCTACATCAACCAAGAAAGATGTCTCTGCCTGTGTGGGTGGCAATCAGCCCTGGGAAAGGCCTTCAGCTTTCATTCTGAACTGCGCATTAAGGGTTGTGCACAAACCTGTAAATTTATCTTCACTCCAAAAAGCCACCGATGTTCTTAGCGTCTGTGTCCTTCTAGAACAGTCCTTTGGTCTTAAACATTTCATGTTGCAATGTACCCTGCACACAGAAGAGAGCTGAACAATGTCTTCAGACAAGTGCTCAAACCACATTAGCAAAGAGCATTTTTAGAATAAATTCATTCCAAATGCTTCCCTGTGAAAAGTAACAAGAAAAACGGCTGGAGGCTGTCTGTTCACTTCCTCAAGCAACAGTCTTGGTAAAATCTTGAAAGATTATCTGCTACTGAAGGCTAAAGTTTAACTGTTAAAATGCACAACAAACCCCAAATGCCTGTATGTTACAAACCACTGCCAAATACGGCTGCTTACAGAAACACCACCAACGGTAAAATAGCACCAAGCAGCCTGAAATGGAACAATATTGAGTTGAAGGAGCAACTGTGGAAACTTAGTCAACTGCGAGGACCAAGATCCACGCTGGGTGCTTACAGGTGATGGTAGGACAGCACATGCAGGGAAGAGGGGTGCTGGTGTAGTGGTACGGATCTGTCGTCTGCATCTCCAACAGCAGGTCTGTTTGGGAAGATGGAAAGCATCCCTTCCCTCCTCCAGTCTTAGGACAAGCAAGTTCACAACTTGTGAGGAGGAAAGCCACGGAGCCTAAGGAGAAGCTTCAACCACAGCATTAATTCAAACATCTCGTTTACCAGCCTGCTCCATGCACAGCCGCTGTCCTGCCAACTGTCACAGACACTGCAGCTCAGCCCATGCTGCTGCTCTAAAGGAACCAGCAGGGAAACTCCCATTCCTATCCCCAGCTCTCAGCACAGCACATTTCCACTGACAAGGGCTATGAAAAAAGAAAAAGGCACAGGAAAGCAGAACAGAGGCAGCTGCTCGACAGGCCAATTTACTTTTCCAGGGAGACATCCTCTCAGTTATACACAGGGCCTCACAGCTGAGATGAACTTTGCTGTAACAGGGGAACATCCAGACAACTGAGCCAAGGTAAAACGCTCCAGCACTGTTCTCCAGTACAGGCTGGCACTGGAGAGTGGAGAGGACGACACCCGTTACTGCGCTTGTCACCTTAGCAGCATTTTGCATTCAGGAGAGGGGAAGCACGTGTGACCGGGTGAGGGAAAGAATGGACTTTCCAAGCTGTGACCCAACACAGAGCCAAGTGTGTTTGGAAAGGCGAGAATACAATGACCACCACATTTCTGCTGAGCCTGTCCCAGCCTGCTGGTGGATGCATTTGATCAGGAAAATGAAGCAAGAACCAGGCTTGAAGACCAGCTCACCAGCCTTTCTGTGCCATTTGCCCACGAGCCCCTCTGGAGCAGCAGAGCACGTCTCTCCCCTCTCTTTGCAGGGGCGTTCCTTGGAGCAGGGCCACAGCAAAGCAGAGGCAGCACAGTCACACAAAGTTTTTAAAATTCAAGTCTGAAGACACCCACCATGTGAAAGGAAGCATTGCTCTTTCAGGGCTACTGCTGAACATCTGCAGGACTGGTAACAAAACGGATGATGAACTAACTGCATGTCAGTTTTATCCACCAAGGGATACAGGTCTAAACCTGGTGTGGGGAGAATTTCATTTTATTTACAAACCAGGAGGGAAAAACTGCATCCGTGAAGGTAAACAGCCTAGACACCCCACAATACTGGCCCACATCATATTCTTTAATATCTAAAAGTAAAAAAATATGGCCCATTTCCACTGTCGCCCCCCAATATTTACAAGTAAAATCAGCCAAGATGATACATAAGGAAGATACACAGGCAGACTGTGCTTTCAGTCTCAGTTTGGTTTCTCCATCTTCCTGC